ATTTACAGGCTCATAATAGTGATCATTAGAATAAACAAATTTCTTTTTTTGATAGCTCTTTACTCTATTTTTTTCTTGTTTGTATTTTTTATTGTATCCCCTTATACCTCTATATTTTTTTATTATTTTTTGTATTTGTATTTTGTTAATTTGGCTTTTTTGATAAAGCGATATAGCTGCTAGAGCTAAGGATCAGAGTGTTAATATTCTCAGTAAGTTGAGGATCCAATATGAAGCTAATTGCTGCTAGATGGGTTGTTCTTGAGCTTAGCTCAAGTTGATCTTTACTCATATAAAATATAATATAGAAAATTGTATCTTTCTGTTGATATAAGTTCTGGTACTTCTAATAAAAGAGTAATAGGCAGGACTACCAAAGGAAAAAAATAAAAATTATAATAGTATTTATACAATAAAATATTATTATTACATAATACTCTTTTTACTAATTATCAAAATACAAATTTTCAAAAACAAAAATTAACAAAAAACTACAAGAAATACACAAAACTTATTAAAAAATCAAACTCAGAGCTTTAAATAAAGAAAAAGCAAATTATAAGAACACTCAGTCTCTTAAAAAACTTGAGTAAAAAGAGTAGAAGTGGCAAAAAAAATATAAAAATCATAAAAAATCATCGATTTGTTTTGCACTTTGTGAATTTTTGAAAATCAGTCTTGATTCTGAATTGCAAATCTGTTTTGATAATATAAGAATCACAATGTGTAATAAAAAATAAACAAAGAAAATATACCAAAAACTATATAACAAAGATAAACAAAGATGGTAAACAATCACAATAAGCAACAGCAACAAATAATAATAATGAAAAAACAACAGTCATATAAAGCAAAAATCAATATAATATTCTAAAAAAAGATCTGTTACAAGAGAAAAAGTAGAAAAAAGAATAGAAGCTCTTCTAAAAGAATTAAAACAGTACAGACAATATGAAATTAATAAATGGTGTCCAATATCTGAAAAAATAAATGATGTTATAAGACAGGCTTGTGTCGAGCATGGGCATGGTGGACGCTAGAATGCACCCAATTATCATATTAATGATGTTGTATATATCGATATGAAATCATGCTATCTAGCAAGTATGCGAGGCCAAGGAGAATGTGCACCATAGTTTAATCGACTTGGACATCCAACACATCACCTTCTCCATTTCGACATGCAAAATGTTTTCTATACCAGACTGGAATTACTGGATATATATTAGGAGCAAACTTAAAGGATCTTATCCGTGCAAATCCAGTAATATCATCTTTCGGTAATTTTCCATTTACTGCTACTCGGACAAGGTGATGTGTTGGATGTCCAAGTCGATTAAACTATGGTGCACATTCTCCTTGGCCTCGCATACTTGCTAGATAGCATGATTTCATATCGATATATACAACATCATTAATATGATAATTGGGTGCATTCTAGCGTCCACCATGCCCATGCTCGACACAAGCCTGTCTTATAACATCATTTATTTTTTCAGATATTGGACACCATTTATTAATTTCATTGGCAAGTTGACTTCCAGCATGGTTTGCACCAAATACTTGCTCTGCTAAGTCAACTACTTTGAGAGACTTTAAAAGAATCAATTTTTTTTCTTCATTAATTATATTTTTATGAAATTGCCAGTTTACCATGTCTTCAAATAATTCCTTATATGCTTTTATAATATCTGTATACTTTATCCATGTCCTAAATACATGGCCATCTTCTAAAACAAATTGAGAAACTCTTTGGTTTTCATCTCCTACTCCCATAAGCCAGATTGTTTGAGGACCTTGAAAGGCATTATTGATAGCTTTCCAAGTATTGTCTTTATAATATTCAACTATTTGATCCTTTGGAAAATAATGGTTTCAAGGGAATGCATGCCTATTATGAACTACCATTTCTATTTCTTCATACTTACCTGATCGATATTTTTTTCTATTAAAAATAGTGCTATGTGTAATATCCAGTAATGTAATTGGTTGCTTGAGAATTTTTTCTAACTCTGCTACATCTTGTACTCGAGCACCTGGAATACGCATTTTTTTCTCCCAATCATTTATTTTTTGCCGACGAATTTCTGTGAGTCCATGCCCTCACTTAGTGTTATCAAAATGCTCTATTACTTATTGAGCTACACAGTTAAGTGCTCTATTTTTCATAGGTATTAATCGATTGACATCTGGCTTTCGGATTCGATATAATCCATATACTACTGCATTACTGTCAAGCTTCCCTACCTCAGATTGCTCACTGACTTCTCTAACCAAAAATTTTTCATCTATTTCTATCCAAAATCCTGGTTTCGTTTTCTTTGTAAGTATAATATTTGGACCACCCTGACGTATTTTCCACCTGCCTTTTTTGATTCACAAATAGGCTCATATTTGTCAATAATTTTAAAGCCTCTTTTTGTTTTCTCAACTGATATTACTGTATTGTCTCGAATGAATTTTACTCTTATTAAATACTCATAATTATCAATTGTATTTAATATTCTTTGTGCTCGTTCTTCAGTCATTCCGGCCTCAAAATTTAGCTTTTCAATTTCTGTAAACTAGGTTGAGAATGCATATTCAGCTCCATCTACTTTAAATATATCTTTTGCATACTGAATACTATTTTGCCATACTTCACAATGCTCTTTATTATCTGGAAATGAAATTGGCCAAAGCACTTCTATATCCAAATCTAGAAAATGATAAGCTTAAGGATCTGGATTACTAGGCTTGTTATTATTTGATTCCATTAGATCGAACCATTCTTTTTCTGTTTTTGGTATGGGTTTTGATCTGATTTTTTTATTATTTTTTATTCCTGGTTTTGTTAACCATTTTATTAGCTCATCTATTGTTAAAAATCTTTTCTCTTTTTGTTCTCTGTTAGATAAATTTTTGAATCTGGAATATCACTAGTTAAAAAGTCAACTACTGGTACATTTGACACATTCAGGTAGTATGTTGGTATATTTTTATCAAATGAAATTAGATCGCCTATAGGAGTCAGGTTTTCAGGTAATGGTGTATTTTGTATTGAAGTTGAAGCTGGTATAATATTTTGTATTGGTACAGGTAAATTTCAA